GCGATGTTAAAAAGTTCGCCTTCAGTTGCATTAGCTCCTGGGATGTTATAGAAGACTTCTTGTAACTCGGGGCCACCAAAATGTAAAAGGCTAGCTCTGTTCTTTGCCTCGGAGTCTATACCCGCCGTTTCGAGATAAATGTTTAGACTTCTTTTCCATCTTTCCCAACAGACAGAGACTGAACCAACCTCCCCGTCACATTCGAACTTCTCTAAGCTGTACAGTGCCATTTGGGGCTACCTGTTGACAAGGTAGTAACAATGTTGCATTTTATAGAATTTATAACACGCTATTGCAATCTAATGCTAGTACTAAAGCGTCTACTGTACTTGACTGTACCTATGCCATAGGCACCCGTATCTACACCCGTAGTACACATTCAGCGCTCATGACAACACTTTCTCGTCATACTGTGCAGTACTGCGGCACTGGCACGTGAGTATTACCCAGCGCGCAGCCACCAAGCGGCGAATGGGTGCTCCAAGTGTTAACATAAAATTTGAACCCGTGTAAACTTCGCAATTTAATGCTATGTAGGTATGTACGCAATTTAATGCTATACCGGTAATCTCCGCAATTTAATGTTTCTATTATCTATCTCATACCGCAATTAAATGCTCAGTCGCAATTGAATGCCCAGCTGCAATTTAACGAGGAAGGTAGGTTAACAAATATGTAGGTATGTCTCTCCCCTGATGTACACCCATAGAAATCTAGATACCTGGGCTGACGCATCAGCGTCTCGGGATGTAAACACCAGCGCTCTAAAAAGAAAGTATAATTCCGCCTCTAGGTCCTTCAAAAGAGTCATTGCCAAGGCAAAGTCAGAGCACATAGGCAGAATTGGCGAGAAACTAGTTCGCCTTCCTTCTGGAACCCGTGCATTATGGTCTCTCGCCAAGGCTGTCCGGGGGAATTTCTGTCAGCCATCTCTCCCATCTCTGCACAGGGAGGACGACTCACTGGCCCACACCGCAAAAGAGAAAGCCGATCATCTAGGCTCTTTCTTTGCGTCCAACTCGACCCTCGATGACAGGGGGAGTACGCCGCCGACCATCCCGCGGTGTGAGTGCTCCATGGCGGAAGTGCAGTTCACACAGCGCTCGGTTCGCAAAGCACTCCTCTCCCTGGACATCCACAAGTCGAGTGGGCTAACGGAATCCCCCCAATTGTGCTGAGGACGTGTGCTCCAGAGTTGGCACCGGTTTTAACGCGTCTTTTCCGGTACTCCTACTCCCTAAGCGTAGTCCCAAAATCATGGAAGACGGCTTTCGTCCACCCGATCCCTAAAAAAGGCGACCGCTCAGACCCGTCCAACTACCGGCCTATCGCCATCACCTCCTTGTTCTCCAAAACAATGGAGTCCATTGTAAACTGCCAGCTCATGAGGTACCTTGAGGATCACCAGCTGATTAGTGACCGCCAATACGGTTTTCGCCGTGGTCGGTCAGCTGGTGATCTTCTGGTCTACCTAACTCACAGATGGGCGGAGGTAGTAGAGTCCAAGGGGGAGGCATTGGCCGTTAGTTTGGACATTGCGAAGGCCTTCGATCGGGTTTGGCACAAAGCGCTTCTTTAGAAGCTCCCTTCCTATGGCCTTCCCGAGAAATTGTGTGATTGCATCACCAGCTTTCTTGCAGATCGGAGCATCAAGGTCGTTGTAGACGGTGCAAGCTCCGATTGCAAGCCTATTAACGCTGGTGTTCCACAAGGCTGCGAGCTATCGCCAACGCTGTTTCTTCTGCATATCAATGATATTTTGCAAACCCGTAACATTCATTGCTATGCAGATGACAGCACTGGTGATGCTCTTTACACCGGCCGAGCCAATATTTCTCGGGAAAACGTCTCCGAGTGCCGGGACAAACTTGTGTCTGAAGTCGAGTCTTTGCTGAACAGAGTCTCGGATTGGGGGCGACTAAATCTAGTCCAGTTTAACCCCCAGAAGACACAAGTCCTCAGTTTCAAGGCACTCCCCTTGTTGCCTCAGCCAGTATCGGAATCCTCGGCGTCGACATATCGAGTAACGTGCAGTTTCGTGGTCACTTGGAAGAGAAGGCCAAATTGGCCTCTAAAAAGCATGGCGTGCTCAGCAGAGCGGGACAGTATTTCATGCCGGCACACCGCCTGCAACTTTACAAGGCGCAGGTTTGGCCGCACATGGAATACTGTTCCCATATCTGGGCTGGGGCTCCCCAGTACCAGCTCCTTCCACTTGACCGCATCCAGCGCAGAGCGGCTCGAATCGTCGACGACCAAGTGCTTTCCGATCGGCTCGATTCACTGGCACTGCGAAGAGATGTTGCATCTCTTTGCATTTTCTTTTGCATATACCATGGAGAGTGCTCTGAGGAATTGTTCGGATTAATCCCAGCCGCCAAATTTCGTGAACGCACTACGCGGAAAACATCCCGATACCATCCACACCATCTGGATGCTTGACGGTCCACCGACGGACGTTTCAAGAGGAGTTTTCTCCCGCGTACAACCTCTCTGTGGAATAGTTTACCACCAGCGATTTTTCCGGACCGATACGACCTGGGGACCTTCAAGAAAAGAGCTTACCCCTTTCTAAAGGGCCGGCAACGCACCTGCAATTCCCCTGGTGTTGCTGTTGATCATGGGCGGCGGTAGTCACTTAACATCAGGTGAGTCGCATGCTCATTTGCCCCCTCTTCTATAAAAAAAAACCTAAAACGCGAACGGAGGATACCTACACAACTTACGACCAAGTGAGTACCTAGTTATTTCACTTTTCCTTCTATGTTCCTTAGTCAAAATGTTATAGACAGTCAACATCAGTTAGTAACGATGATAACCTTAAATACACTTTTATTTTATAGGTAAGTAACTAATTAATACTGTGGATCAATTCATTAACTTCAGAATAATGAAGGGAAAAAGAAAAATGTTTATTCTGTACAACAAAATACACTGTAAAGATTAAAATTAGAATTACTCTTATTACTAGTACAAAGTGGGTAAAAGCCTCGTATTCAACACATACACCTAAAGTACAGTCGGTACTATTTATATTCTGTAGTCTGTGTTTTCAATGGCATAAAAAAACTGTATTATCTATGATCAAAGCAACAATTTAGTTATTTACAATCTAAAACTACAAAACGCCGCATATAGATAGTTTAAATAACCACTGTATTACTTTCCAATCTCCTAATTATAATGACAATAAAGCCTTGCATCCCATCCTCGTCGCCACATGTAATGTACTGTAGATCGCAGGGATCAATATTTAGAAAGAACAAGTAACACTATTGTAAGTAGTATATATTACAAGTAACACTATTATTATACACTGATATCGGCTCGTAGTAAGCGTCCACGTCTTCTCCCTGCGGCGGTAGGTCGGGCAGTGCCGCCCCGTCCCGCGATTCCGCGCGTGCGCTTCTCGAGACGACAGAGTAATAATACACCACTATAAATGTCTATACGCTACAGAAGCAACGGTTTCGTTGCCTATTTAGGAGGTATGTTTGAGGACATTGAAACAGCAAAAAAAAACAATTATATTTTCTGGTGAGGTAGATAACACTGAACAAATTCATCTGAACCTATATTCCAACATCAATAAGGAGAAATATTAAGAGAAGACAGTTTATTGAAACTCATTTTCAGTAGGTAAACATTTTTTTACAATTTTTATATAACAATTTATAAAAATTATAATTTATTATTTATTGTTAAATTTATTACAATTTTTCAATTGTCAAAGGCTATGTGTACATTTAATTTATTTTGTTTTGTAATTTAGGGACCAAGTTTCATTGACTAAAAATAATGTAATAAAGAGGTCAATAAATGTATAAGACAATTATAATAATTATTATTTTTTGATTTCAGACATAATAACTATATATTACAATTTTCAGAATAACAACTATATAATACAATTTTCACCAATATGGAATTAATCCCGGGAAGTACTGTGATAATATTTAATTTATTGAGCAAAATGATTTTATTTAGGCCATAATGATTGTGTTTCAGGGAAAGATGTGGGGTACAGCATATTCCACATCAATATGAAGCCATGTTATATAGACTTTTAAGTGGTGTAGAGATAATGAATATTGTCGCTCTGCTACATTTACAGCTGGATTTCCTTTCCAGAGGTGCAATGGTTCACGGGAAGTAGGACTGTGTGATAATTAAGTAATTAGGTTTAGTTTCTTATTATTTTAATTATTATTGAAAGATGTACATATATTTGCAGCAAATAAATACATGAAAAAAATAATTTCATATATCAGAATATTTACAAATATGTATCTGATATAGTCTTGAATATTTAGTTTTTTTTAATAGGATGATGGTGACAAACGAGCACACAGTTCACCTGATGGTAAGTAGTTGCTGTGGCACAGCCATCTATATCTATTCTCGACTATGAATCAAAATGAAGATGCGTTGTCACCTGTGAGGACTAAAATTGAATTCCTCATTTCCAGTAAAAGGGATTATCTCATACAAAATTTGTCAATATAAAAGTTTAATGGCCAAATATTCTAAAGCTTCTCAATTTTAAGATGTTGTTAAATCTTGTGGTGTCACATTCACTTTGACTTAGTGGTAGAGATAGCACGTGACTTAACTGCATCTTAAAATTGAGTAGTGTTAAAATATTTGGGCATAAATGTTTTACTAAAGAAAAATTATATAAAAAGGATTATTATAATATCAAAGAATACATAAATGAAAATAACCCCTGCAAATGAGGTGATCGCTGCTATGTTGTTTCTATTAAAACTAATTTAAAAATTGTAAACCAAAATTTGTAAAGTGAAATATGTTTAAAAGAAAAGTCCCGCTGGGTTTCTTGCTGGTTATTCCCAGGACAGAGGTATTTTCCAAACCAGTGGTGAATAAAAATGTCTTTTGAATAAATGTTATATAATAATCTATATTGAATAAAAATCATTCTATTCTGTTCTATTCTGGTTCTATACACTCACCATATGAAAGACAGTAGCATTAAGCTGCTATTTAACTTGTACTTTTTGACTTTCTAACAAAGATATTTGTAATTCTAATTTTTTAATTTTCAATTTGGCTATTTTAATGTTGTATATATGTTCCTCTTCCATCATTTCTAGTTGTCTTTTTTTAAAATCTGTATTGCTTTTTATGATTGTTTGCTGTATATCTTCTCTGCTGTAAAATTAAATAGAATACTTAATGTAAGTTTTTTTGTGTACTAAGAATTATGAAGTAATAAAAGTATGTACTAGAAAGGAAGTTAACCTTGTATGCAAAAGAAATATATTTATAATTATTTTTCAATCAATTAATATTAACTTTGCTTTTTAATATTTGAAAACATGAAATATTTTTAGTGTTTAATTAAATACTCATTTTCAAATGTTAAAAAGTATGAGATGTATTAAAGTAATTATTTCAACAAACTGTTACGAGCTTGAGGTTCGTGACAATAAAATTTGCCGATAAAATTACCTAAATTAACACTTTAATTTACTTTACACAAATTAAAACTTAAAACACTAATAATTAAACATACTAATTCACTTAATTCCGCTCCGAAGCTTCGCTTGTCTCGCCAAATCCAATACGGCCCCGATCGCATCTTGCAACGCCTATATATACAAATTAGCAATGAAGCATCCGGAATATTCAAGTAAATGCGCGCAAAGCGACAAGTGTTCGAGTGTAGATTTTCTAGAAACTTAGTTCTTCGGATGGCGCTGTCGGTTGAAAGATTTGTGATGTCATTTTCTGCAAAGCTCCCCTCGCTCTCGTTCCTGACACTAGATGGCGCTAGTGTATGACGTTGACTTATTCACGCAACACTGCCCCCTCCTAAGACATGCTCGTCCCGAGCATTATCGGTCCCATAATAACGCGCCGAACGATCCACATGGACGATCTTAGGAGTCCCTCTTGCGCCTTTCTGTATCCGGTAGGTCACATCGTTGATCCTGGTTACAATCCGGTACGGGCCGTCCCATTTAGCTTGAAGCTTAGGAGATTTCCTTTTGCTGCGGACTGGATTGTGCAACCACACTAATGAACCTTCGTTGAACCCTTTATTGTTCATTTTGCGGTCGTACCGGGTTTTCATTTTCTCAGACATTTGCTGGCCCGATTGTCTGACGTGCTCATAAATGTCATTCATTTTGTTCCGCAAGTCACTTGCATAATCGGTTATACTGCGTGGGGCATCAGGTGGTATCCCGGTGATCAGGTCTGCAGGCAGCCGTAATTCTCTTCCAAAGTTTGCGAAAGCTGGTGTCACTGCTGTACTTTCGTGAACAGAACTTCGATATGACAACAAAAACGGTTGTATGTGCTTGTCCTAATCTCGTTTTTGCTAGGTACCTCTCCAATGTCTGATTAAATCGTTCCACCATTCCATCAGATTGCGGGTGATAAGAAGTCATTCTTGTTTTATGAGTACCCATAACTCGGCAAGTTTCCTGGAATATTTGAGACTCAAAATTCCTTCCTTGATCGCTGTGAATCTCTAAAGATACTACAAAACGACAGAAGACTTCATGAACTAGTTTATCTGCAACTGTTGAAGCTTCTTGATTTGGAATGGCGAAAACTTCTGGCCACTTTGTGAAGTAATCCATCACAACCATGAAATATTTGTTACCGCTTTCACTCTCCGGAAACGGCCCCGCCACGTCGATGCCTATTCTCTCCCATGGTGCACCAACATTGTACAACTTCAATGCACCTCTACTACGAGTCTGAGGTCCCTTTACAGCCGCACAACTTGTACATTTGCGACACCAATTATTATTATTATACGTGGTAGAGCCATGCTGCAGTTATATTAGATGTATAGTTGTAGCACGAATGGGTCGGCTCGACCGGGGAAGGACCACGCTCTCATAGAAAACCAGCGTGAAATAGTAGCTTAATGCTGCTGTGTTTCGTATGGTGAGTGTAGAGAACCGGAGACCCTTTTTACTGGAAACGAGTCATTCCATCTTAGTCCTTCACGGGTGACAACGCATCTGCATTTTGATTCGTAATTGAGGATAGATGTAGATGTCTATGGGCCACAGCAACCACTTACCGTCAGGTGGACTGTGTGCTCGTTTGTCACCCTATCCTATAAAAAAAAACCAGTCCTCGACATCGTTTCGACAGTGGACCCAATAAAACCGTTCTCGGATCTTCAGTAGAGTTCGTTTAACTCCCAGATGGCCTCCGGAACAATCATTATGGTACAGCTGTAGAACATCCGGTACTTTAGCTTTAGGGACAACCATTTGCAAATGACAGCTGTCTCCCCTAACATTTTCCCATTTACGGCACAGAACTCCATCCTGAAGCAGCAAGCTGTCGGACTTGGCCGCAATAGCTTTTAGTGGTCGAACTCATTGCTGAGACGTCGCTCCACTTAGGCTTGGGAGCACTGGCCTTTATCCATTCCAGAATCGGCTTGATGTCCGGATCTTCCTGCTGTGCATGTTGTAAGCTGTCCTTCCATTCGTTGCTGAGGTGGTCCGTCCTGAGCATACTCACGGATACCTCTTCCTTACTCTCTTGCCTAGTACAATGGTTGCAATCTTCATGACAAGGTCTTCTTGACAATGCATCTGCGTTGCCGTGAGATTTTCCGCTGCGATGTTCGATCTCAAAGTCGTATTCCTGCAGTAGTTCAATCCACCTCGCAACTTGTCCTTCTGGATTTTTAAACTGCAATAGCCATTTTAGTGCAGCATGGTCAGTTCGTAAGTGAAATTTTCGTCCCAGAAGATATTTGCTAAAATGCTGCAACGACTTCACCACAGCGAGCAATTCGCGTCTTGTGACACAATAGTTCCTTTCCGGTTTTGACAACGACTTGCTGAAGTACGCTATCACGACCTCTTGGTCACCATTCCGTTGAGACAACACACCGCCAAGTCCTATATCACTTGCGTCTGTGTCAACTATAAATTCTTTGCTTGCATCAGGGTATCCCAAAATAGGTGTTTTGCATAGACGGTACTTGAGCTCCTGGAATGCGATATTGCAACTTTCATCCCAGCAGAAATGTCGCTACTCCTCGGTTAGCTTGTGCAGAGGTTTGGCTATATCTGCAAAGTTCTTCACAAATCGCCGGTAATAGGAGCACAAACCCAAAAATGCTCTAACCTGCGTCTTGTCTTTTGGAACCGGCCAATCCTTGACAGCGGCGATTTTCTCTGGATCTGTGCGGATACCTTCTTCCGATACTACAAACCCCAAAAAGTTAACTTGCCGTTGGAATAGTGAACATTTCTTCGGGCTCAACTTGAGGTTGGCACTCTGAATCTTCATGAGCACGCGTTCCAGGTTTTGAAGGTGTTCCTCAAACGTACGGCCTACGATGATGATGTCATCCAAGTAGACCAGACAGGCATCGCCAATTAGCCCGGTAAGTACAAGTTCCATCAGCCTTTCAAACGTTGCTGGAGCATTGCACAACCCAAACGGCATTACTTTAAATTGCCACAGACCCTTTCCCGTCGAAAACGCAGTTTTCTCCTTGTCCTTAGGGTCAATTTCAACTTGCCAGTAGCCACTTTTTAGATCCAGCGTGCTAAACCACTTTACTCCTCTAAGCATGTCCAGCGTGTCATCAATTCTTGGCAAGGGATAGCTGTCCTTCTTCGTAACGTCATTCAGACGGCGATAGTCAACACAAAACTGCATGCTGCCATCCTTTTTCTTCACCAGCACCACTGGTGAACACCATGGACTAGAGGAAGGTTCAATAACACCATCCTTCACCATTCCCTCATTCATGGTTTCCACTTCCTTTTCACGTGCTACCGGCAATCTTCTTGGCCGCTGACGGATAGGAAATTCTTCTCCTGTGCTTATTTTGTGTTGAACTAAGCCAGTCTTTCCTATGTCAGCATCGTTTGATGAGAATACATCGGCGTACTTGAGTAACAACTTCTTCGCCTTGACCAATTCGTTCGGGGAGAGAACACTGCGACAGTCTTCCAAAAGTGTGGTCACTCTCGTTTCTGCATCCTTGCTGGGGGAGGTCCCACTCGATATATATTGGCACCGACGTAACCAATCCACTTCCTCACAAGTACCAATCAGTGTGCCTTTTTCTATAATCTGTTCCCGGTCGCAAAGGTTCAGCACACGTACTCCTGAGATGTCAGTGGTCCTGACCAAGGTTCGAGCTACTTTCCATGGAAGGTCATTGTTTACCCTTTCACAGTACAAAACGGTGAGCTTGCCCAGCGTTTCGAGGAAGACTAACCGGAACAATCGTTTCCGATCTCGGTGGAAGAACAATCTTCTTAATGCTGTACACGTTCCCTGGTAACGCACCTTCCATAAAAATTTCCTCCTGTCCACATTTCAAAATACCTTGCTTAACGTCGAACTCACAACAATTATTCCTCATAAAGTCTAGGCCTAGGATGCAGTCGTCCATTATATCAGCCACGATGACATTATGCAGGTAGATCACGTTGCCTAGCTTCAACTCCATCTCCTTCTCTCCACGGACGGGTATACGCTGACCGGTGGCTGTTACCAAATTAATGCGTTCTCGGTTGTATGCGGAGTCCCCAAGGAACTGACTTATAAGTTGGGAACTAACAACCGTACGAGAGGCTCCAGTGTCTATGGTCAGTTTACACGGCATTCCGTTGACCTCGCCCTTGATGATTAGACTGTTCCCATCATGGGTTTGTGAGATCGAGATCCTTGGGGTTCTTTTAACATCAGCCAGCACCCGCCCCGGAGTTCTGGTTTACTCGTTTCCCTGCTGCTGCTGGGCGGTGCTGTTGGCCGCACGACCCTCCTGAGATCGTTCACCTTCCCTTTCTAGGGTTCGCTTAGGGCAGCTGGATCGAAGACAGCCCTTTTCCCCACAGCCATAGCACCTTGGGCTGTATCCTTTGTTGCGGTCGCGAACTGTAGCTGCTGCAACCTCCCTGACACGATGGGAACGATGATCCTGCCGCACGGCTTTCACGTCCAGTGCATGGACCAAGGCGTCCTTAAGGCTCTCGTGGTGCCCGAGCCTCACAGCAGCTCTGACTTCCAGGTCACGGATGCCGTCGATGAATGTCTGCACCAGGTTCCCTTCAATGAGCGCAGGTACAGACCGGTATGCTTTTCGCACCAGCTTCTCCATTTCTAGAGCCCACTGCTGCAGGTTTTCGTTGATGCGCTGCCCACGATCTTTAAGCTGCGCACGAAAGACATGTTCCAGGTGAGCGTCGCCATATCTCGCCTCCAATGCCTCAAGGAGTTGCTCATAAGTCACTTCCTCACCGAGAGCTTCCAGAACTGTTAAGGCCTGATCACGCAGGTCTAGTGTGAGAGCAGTCATGGCCTGATTTTTATTCCAGCCGTTCGCCTTCATAACAGCTTCCAACTGGATTTTGTAGGCTGACCAGGAAGAGGTACCGTCGAACGGTGGCACCTTGAACCCACGTAGCGAAGGTGTTGTAGCTACTACGGGAGCTGTAGCTTCATCTCCAAGTTTGAGTTCGTCCAGTGATTTCTTCATGTCAGCCATTACGTTGTCAACCCGATTGTTTACTTGGTCGATTCGGGTTTCAGCTTTCTCGATTCGGTTTTCAGCTTTCGTGATTTGGGTTTCAGCTTCCGACAGGCGGTTGTCATGCTGAGCAACCCTATCCTTCACCTCCTTTTTCTCCTTCCCGAAGGTAGCGTGAAGGTCCTTCATGAGGAGCATCTACTCTTCCAACCAACGGGCCTGTTCCTCTTGTCCGCCCCGCAGCTGCTCCTCCAAACGACGGACCTGTTCCTCTTGTCCGCCCCGAAGCTGCTCCTCCAAACGACGAACCTGGTCTTCCTGTCGGCGGGCCTGTTCCTCTTGTCCGCCCCGCAGCTGCTATTTTAACTGACGGACCTGCTCCTCCTGTCGGCGAGCCTGCTCCTACAGCATCACCATCAGAGCACCTAAGTCAGGTGCTGCAGATGTAGGAGCTACCGACGGGCCTGCAGCCGGTGGCTGGCCTTCCGACGTCTGCGGCGTTGCACCACCTAATCTCCTCTGGTCCGTCTCCTGCTGGCGTTGACTTCGGGTACGGACACCCTCCGATTCCTCCTTTGGTAAAATCGGCATGATTTTATCCCACTTCTGACACCAATTGTTACGAGCTTGAGGTTCGTGACAATAAAATTTGCCGATAAAATTACCTAAATTAACACTTTAATTTACTATACACAAATTAAAACTTAAAACACTAATAATTAAACACACTAATTCACTTTATTCCGCTCCGAAGCTTCGCTTGTCTCGCCAAATCCAATACTACCCCGATCGCATCTTGCAGCGCCTATATATACAAATTAGCAATGAATCATCCGGAATATTCAAGTAAATGCGCGCAAAGCGACGAGTGTTCGAGTGTAGATTTTCTAGAAACTTAGTTCTTCGGATGGCGCTGTCGGTTGAAAGATTTGTGATGTCATTTTCTGCAAAGCTCCCCTCGCTCTCGTTCCTGACACTAGATGGCGCTAGTGTATGACGTTGACTTATTCACGCAACAATACCTATTTTGCAAGCCCTTTTTCCTGTCTTTTGTTTTTGTAATTCCCCTTGTATTAGCAGTTTCTTTGTTGGTTATTTTTATTTCTGTGTCTGTAGTTGGATCGTTTGATATCTCTAAAAATTAATATAAATAAAGGTTATAGTAAATTAAACATTTTATAATATTGAGACTAACTTGTGTATTACATAATATGATTCTAACTATAATAATAACATATTTTGCTTTTTAATAAATAATCAATAATTATCATTTACCTTGCACAACACTCGACAACATTGGGTTCTGGATATTCTATGTTTATAACTACTAGTGTGTCAGTTTTTTTTTTAAACTAAGGCAAAGCTTAGGGTCAGCAAATATTTATTTTGTAGTTGTAGCCACAGTCACTGGATTCTAAAATAAATCACTAAAACATTTATTATCATGTTTTCCTGTCATTACTTATATAATATTGCCCTTAATTGAATCAGGTATTTTATATGCTGTGGAAATATTACGATCAAGGCAATAGGTAATACAAGTTATTAATTATAAAATAGAAAATTATACTCGACAAGTGTAGATAATCTAGTAATATGTATGTTATGATATATAAACCACTATGTATGAATTTATGACATTTCAATTTTGAATAAGAATGTAATTACTTGAAAAGAAATTATTACATACGTATATTAAGTTTTGAATATTTGAAAAATAATTTTGAATTGTAAATTGTATGCCTAAATGGCAGATTATTTATACTATTTAGTAAATAGTACTCGGTTGACCGAGCTTTGCTCGGTATTTTTCGCTCGGTTTTTTTTAATTCGCGTGTTTTGGAAATTGTATTTAGATACAAATTACATACTGATGAAATACGAATAATATTTTTTACATACATAGACAGAATATAGACATAATAGAAAAAACTGAACTGGTTATTTGAATAAAAAATCATCAGTGTAATTAGTTTAATTTAAATTTTCATGTTTTTAAAAAATACGAAAAATTGGGCACGAAAAAACAGATTTTCTCAAAAAAGAAAGAAACTTGAAAAAAAATTAAAAAAAGTCGGTCGGTCTGTCTGGGCTCGAACCATGGCACGAGTACTACGATTTTGTGACCGCCCAATATACTAATTAAGCTTTTTGTAATCATTATTAAACTGTCAAAATTTACCTTCTTATTCTAACGATATTGTAGCAGTTTTTCATTGCCTAAAAACACGGACAAAAAGACATTTTCTAAAAATAAATGGTGGATCTAGCTAGAGATCAATTTCTTGCCCCCGAAACTCCCTGCACGCAAAATTTTATGAAAATCGTTGGAGCCGTTTCCGAGATTCCGATTATATATATATATATATATATATATATATATATATATATATATATATATATATATATATATATATATATATATATATAAGAATTGCTCGTTTAAAGGTATAGGATATTTAGTATACAAAATAAAGTTATTTCATTTTAATTAAATGTCTAAGACGTATAAGTAATTTTATTTAGTGGTAAATAAAATTACTTATCACTATCATAATCGTTAACTTCAATGACAAAGTCGTGAAGAGCAATTGCCATAATTTGTAAGTCCTCAGGAGTAGGTGATGGGGTTTTGATGTTTTTAGCCACGTACACATTTACCTGTTACCTCATTAAATCTAAAATAAAAGAATAAATCTTGTAAACAATACCGTGCCTACTTGTACACAACAAATGCAATAAGTACTTCTTATTAGTTATATTCTTCCACTTTTATTTTTTTCATGTTTACGCACGTTTTCGTTGACTTATCTTCTAAAATAGGTGCTGAATGAGCAATAAAAGTACGTAATATTTCCTATAATAATAAGAACATTCTTTTTAGTCGAAATAAGGATGATAGGAGGATAAGAGCGTTGCTACGCACTAACAAATAAATTACGATGTTTCACTAACTTTTTCTTCTGAACTCCAATTTTCACCCCTTTTTTTTCTTTTGTTCCATTATTATAAATATATAACTATTTACAAAACCACAATACTGAGAACAATGCAATGTATTAAAATAAGAGCATTTACTTATTATACATAAGGACGCAACATAAACAATTTTGAACGTTTTTAATCACGCGCTCGCGGTACCTATGTAACTTACTTCCTTTTCACGGTAGAGTCGTTAAAATGAAAACGATTATAAAAAGCACTTTAATAAAAGTATAAGTCGTGATTGTTCAATAGATTTTTACCTAAAAAAATAACAAAATGTTTTTGCATTGATGAATAATTATTTAAGCATAATTAAGTGTGAAAATAATATTAATATTTAACGAAACAGAACATTGCATTTAATGAAACCTGTAGGAACGAATGAAAGACTGTAATTTCTTGTTTCTTATCTGTGGATGATATTTAAACCAGGACAAATTTTGGTACGTTTGTAGTGTAGTGCTCCCACGTTAATATACTTTAGCGTTAAGGCAGAATAATGGAGCAGTCTAATTAAAGTGTTAATACCAACCACACGTCTCCTTCATTGACACCTTTCCTATATTAATTACATGGCGACCCTGCCAGGCGATGCGCTGCGTCAATGCAAGCGCACCGCCGAGGCCTGCAAAAATTGTCGAAATAAAATAACAATGCAGAAATAATTTATTTCAATAAAGAATTGACTCAATACTAGACAAGACAAGAAAACTATAATATAACAACGACGAGAAGTGGCCATAATAATAATTTAAAGAAGTTAACTCAAAATTAAAATTGAAATATATGAAGACAATCAAACTATGAATATTATTAATTTATTAATTAGTAAACAAAGAATGACAAAAATAAAATGTGGATTTCAAGGTACGGCATATTAATTTAAAAAGGGAAAGAAGTAGTTGTATTCTAGCGGACATCACCCAGAAGGATGTGAAAATTGAGCCGAAAAGAATGAAGAATAATTTGAGAGGTAAATTCGCACCTGTGTGATTTTTAATTCCATTAAAAACTTTAATAATTTGAGATTTTTTTAATGTTGTTTTTGCTTTTAAAAAAAGTTATGCATAAAATTTTCTGGATTTAATATATGGTTAAATTGAAAGTACTTATCAGATAATTCACGATTTAATTGTTTTTTTTTTTAATATTTATATTACTGAAAAAATAAGCACAATGCAATAATTATAAATTAATCAATAATCTAGCACTTGATTTTATATTCAATTTTATTCGGTTATAGTTTTATATTATTTTTATTACTGTGTCCTGCAAAACATGAATGAAATAATATGAAGATTACATTTTTATGTATGTACATTTACAATTGTTTATCATTAATTAATTTTTCATATTTTGTAGTTAACATATCACTGATATATATTTCGTGTGTGTTTTTTATGTAGTAAATTTTATTTATATGTACACAATTTTGAAAAGAGTTATAACCGATTTGCTATTATTGTTTTATTTATTTTTTTCTTGTCTACTCTAAAGGCATTAAATCATTAATTTATATAATAACTTACCTAGAATATTGTAGTGTGTGTTTAAAAATTGTTGTTTATAATATTTAAATATATTAATCTATCGTTGTGTGAAGTTTATAGCTGTTATAGTGATTTTTTTTAAAAAGCATTCTTTATAGCAAAAGTATTTTTTTAAAGAAAATCTAATGCATTTTGTGATGTATGTAAAAGTAACATAAATATTAACAACATAACTATTTCTAAACTTCTGTGTAAATTAAGGAAATTTTTAACACTATCCTTTAAAGGTACATTTTACTTACTACAAAAGTTATATTAAAATTAGGCGTGAATCACATCGTGTCATCCTAGCCCGATGTAATTACAAACGATGCCTTATACGTACTTTGGAATTTAAAACAAACTTGTCTCCAATTATTTGCGGTGTTAGGCTTACAATTTGTATTTTGACCTGTGTGTTGCTATATTAATTATAATGATTACGTTGCTTAACATTGACTTCTATGTCCTGTTTATCTTAATGTGAAATATAATAATTTATTTACGGTTTTATATTGTTTGAATATTTAAATCGTAAGATTTTTTTTAACTATTATAATTTATTATTTTCTTGGAAAACAGTACTAATTTGAGTAGATTATGAAAGTATGTTCTTCGGATAATACGATTTTGAAACTCAATACATATATAATGTTTTACACAACTAATTGATATAAAGTTTGTTGTTCCCATATTGTGAACCTCAATCCCTGACTGACACTGTAACTAAATATTATACGAGATTATTTTATGATATAAAGTAAAAGACGTGATTACATGTATGGATAAGTTACGGAATACATAATTATAAATGAAAATATTGATAATGTATAGTTGCGAGAGTAAGATAAAGAAAATTATTGGAGGTTAGTATATCCACATACAATCAGCCTGATCAGCTGAGAGTTTGGAAAACCTAATAGCAGATTAATTTTTTAAGGTTGTTCGGACACGATTAAATGCGGAATAAGTTTTAATGTATTTTAATGACGGAAATGATAATTTGTTATGAATTGTATAGGAATATTGTCCACTATCTTGATCATGTGTGTATGCGAGCCGTGTACGTGAAAGTTATGGTATGGAATTACATGAGCTGAAATGTAAAGAAGTGAATTGAATGATATTGGTAATTTTCTTGATCATGTATATATGCGAGCCGTGTACGTGAAAGGAATGACATACATGTGTAATGAATAGCTAAAGTACTAGTTATGGATAAAATAGGAAGATAAATAAGTAATGGTTAACTAAGAATGAAGTAAATATATGAAAAAAAAGAATAAAATAAAATATTGAAATGTAAAAGATTATGAAAATTAAGAGAATATTATATATAATCCTAGCTACTAGCCAGGCAGACGTTTTGCTCTTTTCGACGACCCTTTGTCATAGCCTATTAAAGTCCTTAAATAAATAAGTAATGGTTAACTAAGAATGAAGTAAATATATGAAAAAAAAAGAATAAAATAAAATATTGAAATGTAAAAGATTATGAAGTTTAAGAGAATATTATATATAATACTAGCTACTAGCCAGGCAGACGTTTTCCTGCTCTTTTCGACGACCCTTTGTCATAGCCTATTAAAGTCCTTAAATAAATAAGTAATGGTTAACTAAGAATGAATTAATTATATGAAAAAAAAAGAATAAAATAAAATATTGTAATGTAAAAGATTATGAAGATTAAGAGAATATTATATATAATACTAGCTACTAGCCAGGCAGACGTTGTCCTGCTCTTTTCGACGACCCTTTGTCATAGCCTATTAAAGTCCTTAAA